CTTTTACTTGGGTTGGTCCAAATAGTGCTCAAAGAAAAAATGCGACACTCCAGAAGAAAGATGGAGGAACAATTACTCAGATGCAAGTAGGTAGTTACCACTTTTGCCACCAGGTGGCTGATTCGGGGAAATAACATGGCAGGGTATTACAAAATTCCATTAAACTTGAATAATCACCAGTTTTAGTGGTTCACTTTTCATATTACCCTTATGTATCTGATAGTTATACAAATTAAAATATGTCCAGGAAAAGAAAATATTACCTGCCCAACACAAGAAAAGATATTTCACTTTTTGTGATTTTCCAACATGGGGTCTATGGGGAATTTCCCTGACCTAGAAATCACATTTTCAAAGAAAATCAAATTTTCAAAGTTGAATAACTCTTCAAAACCACATTTCTAGATGTAATTTTACATGTAGATTCCAAATTTGACATCATTTTGACTGAATTTTGAGTTTTAATGAAGTAAATCAAGATTATTTCTACTCGCATCTGGTGTATTCTGGGCCGGGGTTCGAAACTTATAGCTGCCTGACCGCCAACATCCTCCGAAAACAGGGCTACAGAACAGGTTCCTTCTTCTTTATCTTAGAGCCCATGATCGGAGGATGGACTGCCAATGGGAACCAATTTTTATTTTGGCAATGGATTTGAATAAACTGCCTACTGGGTAATGGACTGTCAGAATGGCAATATCATATTTTCTATATTAGGCCAGTTGTGAACTCTGTTTTGGACCTGCATAGATGTAGAGAATTGTTTTTCAATTTTCTTTATTACATTTGTTTATTACAAAGCTTTCATACATTCTTTCAAGAATTCTTTCATGATATAGTACAATAACCATCTCATTCCGTTTTTACCTTTATGCATTATACAGTGACTTGGCCCGGAAGAATAAATTGGTGGCTATTTTAACTCAATCAGAAATATGAACCTATGTTGATAGAGGAACAGTCTCAAAGTATGGTAAAATGCGACGAGGCAAGCACTCAGCTTCTGCCTCATCCTAGCTACGCTAGAGTTACACCTGTTTTACTGTATATAATCTTGCTCGTCAGTCTAAAAATGCAAACTCAAATGGGTATTCAGGTGGTTTAGCTGTTCTTATAAAGGATGAATTGTTTAAAACTGGTGTTGAATTAATTAAACAAACACAAGACTTCTTTGTTTGGTTAAAGCTCAAATCATCATTTTACAATTTAGAAAAAGATATTTATATCTGTTTTGTATATATGCCACATAAAGGTTCAAAATTTGAACATGTAGATAATATGGAAATTCTAGAAAAATCGATAGCATTATACCAGTTGTTAGGGAATACTATTATTGTTGGAGATATGAATGCTCGAACAGCAGAATTATCTGACTGTAGTACTGTCGTATGTGGATCAGATGAAAATCTTACCCCATATAATTTCATTGATCAAGATATCTCATACGAAGGTTTTCCTAAAAGGGTCTCAATGGATAAAAATATGAAGGCTGTATATCAAACTCATGGTCGTGAACTTATCAGTCTATGTAAATCATCTGATTTAAGAATTGTAAATGGTAGACTTTTTCAAGATAAAGGTATTGGAAAATTCACTTTTTACAGATATCAGGAACAAAACGACACAGACCATAGCAAAGGAAAATCGGTTTTAGATTATGTACTCTCACAACCTGAACTTTTTCATTTTTTCTCAGATTTTAAGGTTCATGACAGACATCCTGATTCTGACCATGCACCAATTCATTTTAGCCTTAATATTCATTCAAAGCATAATAATTCAAAGAGTACTACCAAGTCGGATAAAAATGTTAATATTAACAGTTTACCTTATTCATATTTTAAATGGGACCCCAAAGAAAAATATAAATTTATTGATATTCTTCATGACAATATTAGCAATAATATCCTAGATGATTTTTATTGTAAAATGGGACAAAATATTGATTCAAATAGCTTGTTGCAGGTTCTTAAACATGTAATCTATCATGCATCTGAAAGCACTTTGAAATTGAAGCAGCTCAAAAGGCATAAAAAGAAATTTCCAGTTAATCCCTGGTTTAATGAGGAGTGCAAAATATTAAAAAAAGAATTACATAATGCAATCAAGCAAAATTCTTCTGATTTAGCAATTTCAAACCTTCAGAAAAAATATAATCAAACAAAGCAAAGAGAAAAACGGGCATATCAAGCTAACTTGTTGAATTCACTGTTAACCTTTAAGGCTCATAATCCTACTGAATTCTGGAAAATGGTGCACTCTATTCCAGGTAAAAATGATGTCAGAGATATACCAATCGCAATTCCAGTACTTTTTGATACTTTTAAAAAGCTTGGTGAAGCACCGACTTATGACTTCTTTGATTATGAAGCTTTAAAAGAAATGAAAACCTTTATATTAGAATATAATTCGAATCATCCATATACACATGAATTAGAAGTTAGCAACCATCTACTTAACCATGTTATACATGAAAAAGAAGTGATTAATGCTTTGAATAAGATTAATGCAAACAAATCGCCAGGTATAGATGGTCTACCTTCCAATATTATCAAAAATTGTAAGGACCTAGCTTTTGATTTTACTGCACTTTTTAATTTTATATTTGATAAAGGAGATTATCCAGATGAATGGAGTATCGGTATGCTTTCCACTCTTTATAAACAAGGATCACGTTTCAATCCAGATAATTATAGGGGAATAAATGTTCTTGCTTGCCTAGGCAATGTTTTTGACACAATCATACAAACAAGACTTGTCTTTAATGCTGAAATGCTTAATATACAGGATCCTTTACAAGGGGCCTACAAATCTGGGCATCGTACGACAGACAATTTGTTTATTTTAAATACAATCATTTCACATTTTAAGAGGCAGAAAAAGCCTTTATTTTGTATAATGATAGATTTTAGGAAGGCATTTGATTATGTCAACAGGACAGCACTTCTTTATAAATTATGTAAGTCAGGTATTCAACCGAGTTCAAAAATGTTTAAGATTATTGACAGCATGTACCAAAAGTCAAAATCTTGCCTCAAACTTAAAGATGGCATCACGCCAACCTATAAGACTGAAATTGGTGTTATGCAGGGCTCTGTACTCAGTACATACCTTTTCAACCATTTTTTGGATGACTTGAAAGATTATCTTCCATCTGAATATGGTGTAGAGTTTGAAGGTGTTTCTCTTAATCATTTAATCTGGGCAGATGACTTAATATTAATAGCTAACTCTAAAACTGGTGCTCAATCAATGCTAGACTCTCTCTTTGATTTTTGTCGAAAATATCATCTTGTTGTCAACACTGTTAAAACAAAGGCTATTATCTTTAACTCTAAATCAGATGAAACTTTTAAATTCAATAACGAAGTGATTGAATGTGTTGAAGATTACAAATATCTAGGGTGTATTTTTAACAGGAATAGTAATTTTGATAAGCAAATAAGCTATCTTAAAGAAAATTCAGAAAAGCTCTATTTAAAATAAAGCAACAACACCATAAGTTTAATGACATTCCTATATCTGTTGCATTACATTTATTTGATTCACTTATCCAACCAATTCTGATGTATGGTTCAGAAATATGGACAAGTAAAAAACATATTAAGACAATTGAAACTATCCATCTTTCCTTTTTGAAAAACATTCTTGGTGTGAAAACATCAACTGCAACACTAGCAGTTTATGGAGAGCTGGGTCGTTTCCCTTTGAGTCTATGTTTTGATATTCAACTTATCAAATATTGGATAAGGCTTATAAAATTGTGTCCAGACAACGTCCTTTATAAATCATATCATTATGATTATGAAATGCACAGTCTGGGTTTTAAAAATACATGGTCAAGTAAAGTTTATAACATTTTAAAAGATTGCAATCTTCTTTTTAACTGGAATGAACAAATTGTTGAAGATGATTTCACATTTATAAATGTTTTAACTAAGACAATGTACCAAAATTATAAGGACAAATGGAAGTGTGATTTACAATTATATCCAGTTCTGAGAACATATGTTAAATTTAAGACAACTTTTGAATTGGAGCAATATTTAAGCCTTCAAAACAAAAATCATAGGCAATCCTTTACCCGATTAAGGTTAAGTTCTCATAAACTTCAAATAGAACTGGGTAGACATGTGAAACCACGGCCAAAACCTGAACATGAAAGAACGTGTAACGTTTGTGGAGAAATAGACAATGAAATTCATTTCATGATAAATTGCCAAATACATCAAGAAAATAGAAAACTATTGTTTGAGAACATCAACAGCAAAATTAAATTTGATAAATACCATCCTGAAAATGCATTCATAATGTTAATGTCCTCAAAAGATAAATATGTCCAAAAGCAAGTTGGCATTTTTATAAATAAAGCATTCAAGGTCATTGAACTTGTCTGAAGAACATTCTGGATGCATCACACTGCTTTAAGTATTATGTATAGTTAAATACATGTTAATAACATGTTTTTGTATATATTGTATAATAATAGTGTAGTGTAGTGTAATGTAGTGTAGTGTAGTAAGTTTTTATTTTATTTTTGTACTGACTAATATGTCATACTATGACGAGTCAATAAAAGATATATATATACCACAGGTATTGCATAAAGAGCATGCCTGAGTTATTAACAAAATTTGAAAGCTCTTGTTATTGATATATAGCTACCTAATTCATTCATGAAGCTGTCGAATATATTGCCTTCATAGTTCATGTCCAACACAACATATCAAGTGTGACATTTATGATACATCACTGAACACAACCTAAGGAAAATAGAAACGATAGAGTGTAAATGTTGGAAGCTAATCTTTTCAAACCTAGTGCCAATGTTTTTGTTACAATTGTACTTTTATTTTCTGAAAGCAAAGAAATATGATAACATAGAAGTTATTGAACATTTAAGATGTAAAAATGCAGAATTTTTGTTGTGACAGATAACCTTAAAAATCAGTCCTGTCCTGAATCAAGTCAGAACTATTGTACTTGAACTTCTTAGGAATGACACTGTATGGAATGATAAAAAATATGTTGATTGTACAATTTTTCTATGAATATATTTTAAACCTCAGAGCATAAGTTTAAAACCTAATGTGCAACCTTTTACCATTTTTAAGTTTTGAATTTTTTTGTTCTTGTTGAGTCAATTACCCTAGCTACTACCTGAGCATCCCTATCACCAGCTGTACATAACAAGCAGTCTTTTCTTACACAACTGATATTGAACACACAAACTCCCACATCACATGACACACCACATGTTTATTTACAAACTGGCATGAGGCACCACATCTTCTGTAGTATCTGTCTTGGCAGGGGCTATATGACCACATGAAGGAACAATGTTATGGCTTATGGATACCTGATTAAGTCCAAGGAATTCCATGCGGTTTAAGTTCTTAGCCTGCCCCCTAGATTCCTCGATTGTCGAGTCTATTATCAGAGGTGGGTCACGATCCCCTATGTAGTCTGGATTACTGGGGTAGAGGTCATCTCCTGAAATGATCAATCATACTTTAGCTCGCCCTGCATAGAATACCTAGGTAAAATTAAACAAGACATACAGTGAAGAAGATTGCACTTTGAAGAGCAAAATGGCCACCAAGTAATTTACCCAGCATGCCCAAAACCTTATCAGATCTTGGCACTACTCTGCTCTAGTAGCTATAAAATTTCATGTTGAATGGACATCTTGCAATATTACAAATATACATACTTTACATGTTTTGTTTAAGAGTAACAGAAACAAACATTTTTTACATTTAGATAAATTCAGACTAACGTTTAGACATCTACCCCGTGTAGGTACATGAGGTAGATTATACTTTTATTTTCATTTTCATGTCCACTATTATATTAGTTACAAGTTGTAACCCATATTATCATTTAAGTCATATTTGGTGAGTTTTGATGATAATTTTTATGCTTTGCCCTCTTGCACTCCCCGCAGCTCACAAAATGACAATATATTACATCAAATTGAAAAAGTGTGATAAAAAATATGGCAAGATGAATTTTCATTGTAAATCAGTGTTCTAATTTGTTTTGACCGATCCTGTATAGTCAAATTACTCAACTTGAAAAACATATGAGATTATATAAAAGAGATTTAAGCCTTTTGAAGAACAATTCCTCCTTCGTGAAAACCTACCTGGGTATAAAGACAACCTCCCATCTGTACACATGGAAATAACAGGCATAATTTGTTCACATCCTTCTGTAGCCCGCTCCTTACTGAACTTCAATAGGTCATCATACTTGCTGAAGTTAGCAATTCTGGCTAGTTCATACACCTGGGGAGGTGCAATCCACAGTTTCTCATTTTTGAAATCTTCATACACTTCATCAGGTGTCAGCCACTGGAATTATAGTGTTCCACAAATATAAACAAGGAATTAACATACAAAATGTCACAACCTGCCATTTGTTACAAAGAGTAACAGACACCAATCACCAAAGATCAACTGCTGAACAATGCCCACAAAAAAGTTGGAGACAATAACAATATGTCACCACTTGCATTATTTGCATAAAATATAAACAGGAGATCTACTTATGAGTAAACAAACTTTCCATCAAATCAAAATGGCTGTGTAAAGGCTAACGAGTGAAAAACGAGATTTTAGCTAAACAATGAGACACTTTTATTTTTTACCAAAACTTAAATCTTTACTAAATATTTAAAATGGTTAATACAGCAAAATATTGTCTACATACACCAAACTTGACAGTTTCTTTCTCATCATGAGTGGTGATTGGCAGGTGATCTACACAACATAAGAAGAATGCAGTCTCATACCTTCTACCTACAATAAAGCAAAGAGACCCTTTTATGCAAGCAATAACAAAAATACAATGCTTTTGAGGTGATTGGGTGAGGCAATGTTAATTTTATTGATTTTATTCATGCTTTCTCCAAAAATAGAATACAGGGTGTCCATAAATTAAGATAAGATAAGAAAAACACCGGCTTGTAGGCTTATGTAGCCTTTTGCCTGTATGGGTGTGTGTATTTCGTATATACATCAAGTCAATTTTTGGCATATATTCAGTTAAGGCTTATGCTCCCAGTCTAATTTCAGTGGGTGGCTGTACCAATGGTCATCCAACCTGTTCTTGAACTGGTCAACACTTTTTGCTTGGATAACATATTCAGGCAGTTTGTTCCAGGGTGATATGACTCTGTTGGAAAAGAAATGCTGCCTCGTGTTAAGTCTACAGTGTTGTCATTTTAGGTACATTGTATGTCCTCTTGCTGGTTGTCTTGTTATATTGTTCAATTGGGGAAAGATAGTCTTGGGGTTGATGTCGTAGAAATTGTTCATGATCTTGTACATCTCAATCATGTCTCCTCGTAACCTTCTAAATTCTCTACATTTTACATAGATTTTGGATTGTGATTCTAGAAACTTATGGACACCCTGTATATTCTTTATAGCTGATGTTTTACTTTTCATTTATCTGATCATCATTTAATTACCGTGCCTCCTTAAAGAAATATCTTAATGCCAAATATTAAATGAGATGTTTTTTGAGATGATGAGGTATGACAAATTTTTGAATTGTCCAATTATCAACAGTTGTAGAATAACGAAGTTAGTTTTGTTAGGGGGTAGGGGGTAAATGATGGTTTTTGGTTGTGAAGTGTTTATTCTAATTTAATATTCAAGTGAAAGACAAATCAACATTTTTAACTTTTGTTAGATAAGGGGAGGGGTGGGGGGGTGTTCAAACTACAACAAAATTAACTTTGTTTTTCCATAACTGTTGATAATTAGACACAATCCCTAATCATCTCTATGTGATTTGTTTTACTCTACAAAACTGGTCTCTAAAGGAGAGATACTTTTACAGGGGTGTTGTCGATAAACATTCTCATAGAAACCTGTATAAAAACTTCCCAAAAATTGGTTCAGTTTGTTACACCAGTATACTATATTCTGTCAGTCACTTTCAATAATAGGTACATTATACCTGCATTTAGGCCTAGCTTTTTAGCTGCTGTTGGAGTTAACCAGTTGCTCCATTCCATCATGGCCCAAACATCAGGAACTATCTGTAGTTCTTTACACATCAGTATAAAGTTCGAAGCATCTGCATCAACCTTTTTACGCCATATAGTGAGCTCATTTGAATGCGAACCATCGATTACTGAACCATCCTTTTTAGGAGCAGTATGGTTCTTTGACTTTGCTAATAGGACACCAGATTCCTCAAATGTTTCTCTAATAGCACATAAGCGAAAGGCAAGCTCATTAGGGACAATTGATCCAGAAGGTTGGTCTTCCGATTGGGTTGTGAACATAGGTGGACGCGGACCACTAAGAGGCTCCAAATCTCTTCCAAGTTTTTGTAAATCAGTGTTAAAAACATCACACCATTCATTAGAAAAATCAGCCTCGGATGCCATACCACCAGGAAAGACATAAGCGCTTGGCATAAATTTGCTTTTACTACTTCTTTTCAACATCAGAAGTCTGAAGTCATAATTCTGAGTCCAAGGTCCATGACTTGTTTTCTGTACAGCAGGCGCCCTTGCGGCCAGAATCACTGTTGCCGCGTCCCTCCAATGTTTTGCCAATTTATTCATAGTTTTATTAACCTCAAAACTGAAGTGTAACAATATGATGTTAAACAACTAACACTGAATAAAAATTGAGTGAAAACATTGACTAAATTTCACCCACCATTTTGAAGAAAGTGAAACAAATGTTTTGATTGGTCAATTATTTAGGGGATTTCCTTTTTCCCATCGGGATTCCCCGTGGACTACACGGATTATTAAATCAATGTGACGAATCGTGGGTTAAAGTACTGAACACGGGACACGGAAAGGTCTCGTGTCAGCTGAATTTGCTGGGTCACTCGACCACTGACCTTCCATCAAATCATGATTGTATTCATAGTAAAGAAAACCCATCCTATATTTTACACTAGGCCATAGACTCCATGATTAATGAATGTAATGTGGGTTCGGTTTGCTTTTCTAAAATTTGTGACTTTGATAAGGCAAACTTGCTATCACTAATTAAATGTCAAAAATAAGAAAAAGGCAAAACACACATTAATGGGGTAAGATGAATGATAAATGATGGCTTTGACCTAGATCATTGATATTGATTACTCTTATCATTTTCACTATCTCAAGTTGGCTATTTACTCAAATTATACTTCCAATGTCAAATGTTATTTTTGCCATATATTTTTTATAGTATAGTTACATTATTTTTTAGTTGATCTTATTATTTTCTCTCAAAAAATAATATGTGACTATGAAACTGCAAACTATTTTAAAACACGCACGGTGACCAAGACACCTGAACTTATGATAATATGTACTTTTATCCCAAACTTAGTAGTATTATGGGTAAATTGTCAGGATATAATTGATAGTGAGGTGAGCGGGTGATATATCACTAGCGGATCTGGGAGAGGGGGCAGGGGCCTGAGGCCTGGGGCCTGCCCCTTGGATGGGCCCTGGAGAAAATTGGCTCTATTGGAGAGATGTTGCTTTCATATACTCAGATACTGTTACATGTTAAAAGCTGCTGATCATGTGTTTTAAAAAACAATTAATGTTAAGAACTTTAAAATTGAGATAAAATTTTCATGCCGGTTTTGATTGCAATTATCATTTGTAATTATAACACGAGGGTTTCATAACATTCAATGCTTACTTAATCCTCATAATCTACTACATGTAAGTATAGGATAAATCAGTTATCAAATGCTCGTTTTTGATATACAGGGTATATCCCTCGGTTACAATATTCCCTCAGCTAAGATATACTATAGTACCGTGTATCAAAAACCTCCCACTAAATAACTTCTATGTATCGAACAATGATTGTGATAAAAATGTTGGTCATGAAGGGGGGGGGGGGTGGCGTTTATCAAGAAATACAAAATATAAAGTGAATTCGCCAGCAAATGTGAGGCTAATAACATGTTATCGGATGCATCGTGCTCAGGTATTTCTCCTTTTAAATGCTGTTGTAATCATTTTGAGATTATGTTGCATTTTATTCCATTTCTTTTTGTCGAATTGCATTGCTGGCTTCGGGTTTGCACAAGTTGGTTATGTAAGCTGTGCTGTTTTGATTTATGTGGTATCTCTATCCCCATTCAACTGAAAAATCTGAAAGTAGCCCTACACCTGATGTTTTGTGAACAAGCTTTATTTGCTTGATTGTGTTTTGTGTAAGATGTGACTCTCCCTTCATATTGTATTTATTGTATTGTATTGTATTGTATTGTATTGTATTGTATTGTATTTATGGTATTGTGTTATGCTGTGCTGTTCTGCATTGTACATATTTTATTGTATTGTATTGTGCTATACTGTGCTATGCAGTACTGTAGTGTACATATTGTATTGTATTATATTGTATTGAATTATTTTATTTCGCGATTCAGTGCGCGTTCCTGAGATCTCGCAGAACTTTTTATCGACAGTCAAAAAATCTATTTAAATAAATTAAAACCTTGAACAGGGTCCAATCAACAGTATCGGACATCAACTAAACTGAAACGCAGATAGTACAAGACTAAACACTTTGCAAAAACCATTGATTCAAAGGACAATTCTGAAACACAAAGATGGCGTTTAGCAAATATTATGGCAGATTATTATTTCAAGTCCAATCACCATATCCACTCATTACATCTTACATCTTGGGAGCCAAATAGATTTCCACAGGTGTTGGTCGAAAGTTTATCTGTCGATGAATTTGTTGGGTGAGACAACAAAAAATCGATTGAGTCCTTTATATACACAATCGTTGCTAAGAACATAACGGAAAATTGTTCTATATCTCCTTTGCCATCATAGCTAATCCATACCCCCGTTGTAGAAACCTCCACTCATTAACACAAACTTAAGACTTGTATCGCTCTGCACCCCAGCCCAAATCTACCTATAAAGGAAATGCTGGTTTGGATACAACGTTCAAGAAAATCATGCATTTCGAATACAACTGGATCGGATTTACATAATTTGAATATAAATCTGCAACTACAGCTTGAATCTAGCTATTAAAACTACTCTGATAATAGGAGAAAGTTAGTGAACTAATCAGGACTAATCCCAGGTAAAATGGGGTGTTTAGGAGGAGGCGGGGGATCGGGAGGCAATAGTGGTGGCACGACTGACATTGCAGAAGAAAAGGCTAAGAAAGAGCAGCACAAACAAATTGAAAAACAACTGGACAAGGATCGCATGAATTACAAAACAACACATAGGTTACTTCTACTTGGTAAGCAAACATGTATTCTTTGATAAAAAAATACACTTTTTGTCAATGAAAAATTCTATAAAATATAACTGTCATTCTTTTCCAAAAGGAAGAACAACGAATGCTCGGAATTTGTTCCAACTATATATATATCTTAACATAGCACCTGCTCGTTATATGTATTACTTTATCGATGTGTATCGATTTTAGTGCGAATGTCAAATTTTCGGAAAATGTATAGCAGCCAATAGTAAAAAGTTTACTTTGTTGTATATTTGGAATCTGCGTAATATGTCATCCAACGGCATCAACAAAGGAACATTATATAAGGAAGATGGTTTAAATGAAAATATATACAATTTAATTCAGTTCAATTATTTATATTTGACAAATTGGCGCGATTTCGAGTATTACCGTGCATCTTCTAACGTTCGAGGAGTATAGCAATTGCATTTGAAGTGACTTTTCCAATTCAATGATCTTCAGGCAAACAAAATATTTTTTGCTCATTTTGCCTGTCAGTAGATTCATGGGCGGCAGAATAAAAACTAGTTGTCAAGACATTGAACGTGCGTTTTAGTTTATTATTCAGCCTTACGAGAGCCTTACACAGTACACACTCTAGTCACGTCTATCGTATTCGTAAGAATAGTAAGATTTCAAACACAACTATAGATGTCACTAAGTTTTACGACAGCTATACTCTTTGGTAATCAACCAATGGCAAATCGATATGATATAGACTCCCGGGTATAGAATATCGTGTGATGAGTATCGTATTATGTTAGGGGAAGATGTATCTGATACTAAACATGCTGTTGTTTCTGTAGATGAAGTCATGGGAACGTGATGGTTGAAAAGAAACACAGTTTTGGAAACCTTTGATTTCCACGATGGTAGTCAATGGGTGTGCTTTTTGAGTAATGGATATAATTTCAAACGGAAAATGCACAATGGGCATCATTTAACCATCGCCTAAAACTTTAATGGGCCATATCAGTGGGAGTCCATTTTGAAGAGGTGGTCTCATTTCGTGAGTTCTGTTCAATATAAGCTTACTTGTGTATGGTGTCTCAAAATGTATATCAAAAACACAGAATAATTTCAGACATTTTTGAAAGCCCGCGTCGATACACAGTTTTTTTTAGTTCAGTCCTCCCCTTTTAATGCTTTAATCCTTTGTACATAACATGATCAACGTAGCCCCTTCGTCTTCCGATGCACCCTGGATGATGGATGAACCCTGCTAAGTGCAACTGCAATATATCCCTACTACTGCTACATCGTTCATCCGACATTTGATAATGTTTCCGATTAACATGTCCTTAAAATAGTCCCAGAGAAAAACGTCCGGGCCGTCAAATGTGACTCATAATCAGAGAGATAACGTTCAAGAAACGTTCGTAGGAATTCTCGTTTGGCCCTTGATGTATGTGGAGAGACTCAATCTTTTTGAAACCCCTGTAGGATCAAGCTGTCGTAAAAATATGAGGTTACATTGATCATGTGGTGTAAAAAGTATAGGGTTAAAGCATGAAAAAGGCAAGACTGAACTAAAATCTGTGTATTGGAGAGAAGACTTGTATGCTTTAGCTACACGACCATGTAAAAAATGTTTGAAAATATTGATTGGGTTATCTGTGCTGTTGATAGACTTTTGCCTACATTTTTAAGACACTCTGTATATTTGATTTAAAACGTATTTTGTTTTAAAATACTTCGGTCAATTTGATAGTTATCTTGTTTTATATACGTTTAATAATCTGTTAACTTGGAATTGTTTTAGTTTGATTATATTTGTGTATTTTTGATTTAAACTAATGATTGCATCCAATATACCGTGACGTGTGTGGTCAACCGTGTATACTTAAAAATTATCATTAGATAGCAGAATACGTTTTCTTTCATTGAGATTATGCAACCTTTTTTCTTCAAATGTATACACTCTTTTTTTTCAAGCAGCGTTTATAAACAATGTAATACAACTTTAAGTCAAACTAATGTTCAAAGCCCTAACCGGGTGGCTTTAAAATATCACGGGTAAAATATCAATGTCTAATAGGAAACTAAATAATGGGGGGGGGGGGGGGCGCACGTTTTAGTTTCCTATTCGACATTTTTCAACATTTCAGTACTTTCCAAACTTGTAAATTTTTTAAGGACCCGCCAAAGCTTTCGAAGTTTCCGTAGAAAATAAAAACGAGATTAAGCTTAAATTTATACTGGAAATCGCGAAGAAAACCTATGTGTTTCAGTTATAAGAGTTTTCTCATCTCGATTTACTTGTAAAACCTAATGGGCTCCTAGCTAATGTGACTGTCATTCACCATCTATTAAGCATTAAAAGATAATTTGCTACATGTGTGACAAAATGTTTCTTTTTGAATGTCGCATCATACGAATGTAATTTTAGGCGATCTGTCTGCATGGGGTGATATTCTTAGTGAGAAATGAATAAGCTTAGCCTACGAGATAAATACGCATACTTTTGATTCGCATCGTTTAAATAGATGTCAGGGTTATTCATTATTTTGCCAAATAAACAGACCTGAGATCTAAATTATGTTAATTGAAATATAAGGTAATATTAAAACATGCAGTCAACTATACACTATGTCGAGTATTGCTTAAATAAATAACGTATTTACTATCATTCTTAGTCAGAGAGAAGGAACATTTCAAGGTTTTCTAAACTTTTGGGAATAGTGTAGAAATGGCGATAGTCAGTTGCTCAGATTACCCACAATACATCGGTAACCCCACCCAGTGCCTGTCAATTTACGTACATGGTTGCCCTGTAGATCCGAGGCAAAAGAAGGAATATTCATGAAGAAATATAGGAAAATAGGGGTGTAAAACGGGGCTCAATGAGCGCGTAGGGTCAGGATTATAGCTGTGGAATCTGCTGGGATCTCTAAACACCGTTCTAGGCGGTGGGAACTGCTGCATAACGGGGAGAATTGGGTGGCAAAGTGCCGCGATTTCTCCCGGTTGTTCTCCATTTTGATCAAAAATCATGGGTTGTATCCCTCATAAAGAGGATGAAGACGCTAAAAATAAGCGAGAAGCCAATAAACGCATCGAAAAACAACTACAAAAGGATAAACAGTTATACAGAGCCACGCATAGATTACTACTACTGGGTTAGTTCTTATAGGAAATTGCTTAAAATTTTCCAAAATGGAGTCGGTTTATCAGCCTATGAATGTTCAGCCATGTTGAATTCTAATGCTATCGTGTAAAACACTGCTGTTTTCTCTTCCAGGGGCTGGAGAATCAGGGAAGTCTACTATTGTCAAACAGATGCGAATCCTTCATGTAAATGGATTCGGTACAGAGTAAGTTCAAGCCTTGAATCAAAACGATCTGTTATGTTTTGAACCTTGTTTTGAGCAAACAAATACAGCTTCAGTTTCAATGTCAGTGCCAATTTTTATCAAAACAACCAGCAACACATTCTACTGATTTTCTGCATTTTTAAATATGTCTAATTCTGATGTAAATATGTCACATTCTTGAGCACATATTTATGTAATTTAGCAAAATAAGGTTCAATTTTTATGTAAAAATTTGTCAAAATGTCCAGACGAAATATTTTCATACATTTGGCAATATTGTCATTTCATGTTGCTAAAAATAACGCCAAGTATGTAGCATATACCAATATCACAATTATATCGTGTTTGTTCACTTGAGCATGGTTTAAAACATAACTTTTTGATTATTTTTCAAATATTTGCAATGACTGACTGACCTTCTGACTTTCAAATAACAGGACTGATAAGTACCCATGTTATTACAGTACTACAAATCACTAAAAACACCTTCCTTGATATTCATGGTAATAATAATATAAGTCCACCCGCATATCTCAGCGGTAGTATGTGTACCAATTATGCAATAGGTCCCAGATTCGATCCATGGTTCAAGCAAGACTGATTTGATTGTTTACATAAAGTACTGAGGCGTTTTTGACTGAGTGGTCCACAACTCGTACATAAGACCATGGTGTGTACAGTACTCATATGTCTATGTATGAGTGCACATAAAAGAACACCGGGCTCCTTCAAGGAGGTGTTTCTGGGTCTGCCTTCCACGATTATATGTGTTAATTACGACCGTAAATATACAGGATATACCAAAGAGGTATTGTTCACCTTCATTGGTATGGTAAACAAAATACAATTCAAAACACAATATCCCTAAAATATGTGACACTGCTTAAATGCAGTATCCACATTGTATCTTTTTGCTTACATATGTGCATTTCTTGAAAGATGATAGGATGTTTTAATATATATTCCAAATTCTGTACACGTCATGTTAGGTAGAGAATTATACTTGTCTTGCATCTGATCCTTTAAATGTGTTTCACATCCTGATAGGTAATAAGATATAAAAAGTAATGAGTCTATGTGTATAATCAGATATACATACAGTCTAATATTATGAGTTGAGATTTGAGTTGTGCCCAGAAAATGTTACATAGCCTTAGTTGCTTAGGTTAATACATTAAATGTATTTCATACCCCCTCCCCAAAAAAAAAAGTTCTATTTGAAAACACAGGATTTAATTGATTCCAAAGGATGACATCAAGAATTCATTTTACCCTGGGAAAACTTGAATAATATTATATCATGGGCGTAGCGCCCGATACGCTGGGTACGCACAGGCCCCAAATACAACCAAATTTCAAAATTTTCTCGGGGGAAATCCCCCAGACCCCCTGAATGTCCATTTTTAGATTCACTCAACTCCTGTTCCTGTGGTGGTGGCGTACTACTTAGAAAAATAGCGCTACGCCCATGTATATGTATTTATCTTCAACATACAATATACTCGGTGTAACTTGCCCTTGTATTGTTTTCATTTACGAATGTGTAGCAATCTAGATTTGGGTTAATGTGGGTGAGATTATATTTTTATGTAACATAAAGCATAATTTTTTTGATTATTGTTTCCTCAACCTTAATTCATGCTCAACCTTTTATATATTACCATTGAGTGCTACGATTAGCCTCTCACACTGTGCAAATGAGTGTTTTGATTGGACTCTCTCATATATTGCCATTGAGTGTTTTGATTGGTCTCTTTCATATATTGCCATTGAGTGTTTTGATTGGCTTCTTTCTTTCATGTATTGCCATTGAGTGTTTTGGCCTCTCACACTGTTTGCAAATGAGTGTTTTGATTTGTCTCTCATGTATTACCAATGAGTGTTTTGATTGGTCTCTTTCATGTATTGCCATTGAGTGTTTTGAATGATTGGCCTCTTTCATGTATTGCCATTGAGTGTTTTGATTGGCCTCTCACACTTTTTGCAAATGAGTGTTTTGATTGGTCTCTTTTATGTATTGCCATTGAGTGTTTTGATTGGCCTCTTTCATATATTGCCATTGAGTGTTTTGATTGGACTAACTGTTTGCAAATGAGTTTTTTGATTGGTCTCTTTCGTGTATTACCATCGAGTGCTATGATTGGACTCTAATATATTGCCATTGAGTGTTTTGATTGGACTCCCTCATATATTGCCATAGTGTTTTTTATTGGACTCCCTCATATATTGCCATTGAGTGTTTTGATTGGATTCTCTCATATATTGCCATTGAGTGTTTTGATTGGACTCTATCATATATTGCCATTAAGTGTTTTGATTGGACTCTCTCATATATTGCCATTGAGTGTTTTGATTGGACTCTCTCATATATTGCCATTGAGTGTTTTGATTGGACTCTCTCATATATTGCCATTAAGTGTTTTGATTGGACTCTCTCATATATTGCCATTGAGTGTTTTGATTGGCCTCTTTCATGTATTGCCAGTGAGTGTTTTGATTGGACTCTATCATATATTGCCATTGAGTGTTTCGATTGGCCTCTTTCATTTATTGCCAGTTTGTGTTTTGATTTCATTTGTCTCACACTTGTTGCAAATGAGTGTTTTGCTTGGTCTCGTTCATTTATTGTAATTGAGTGTTTTGATTGGCCTCTTTCATTTATTGCCAGTGAGTGTTTTGATCAGCTTTCATTGCAAGTGACTGCTTTATTTGGTGTCTAATTAATTGCAAATGAGTGTTTTGATTGGCCTCTCATATTCCCACTTAAATACCATGTATATTTTCTATAGTGAATGTGTTACATCCCAATTTATGTTTCATAGTGAGTATGTTACATGTCCTGTATGCGTTATATAGTGAGTGTGTTACATCCCAGTTTATGTTTCATAGTGAGTATGTTACATGTCCTGTATGCGTTATATAGTGAGTGTGTTACATCCCAATTTATGTTTCATAGTGAGTATGTTACATGTCCTGTATGCGTTATATAGTGAGTGTGTTACATCCCAATTTATGTTTCATAGTGAGTATGTTACATGTCCTGTATGCGTTATATAGTGAGTGTGTTACATCCCAATTTATGTTTCATAGTGAGTGTGTTACATGCCCTGCATGTGTAATATAGTGAGTTTGTTACATTACTTGAATGTTTTATAGTTAATGTATTACATGTTTTATCTATGTGTTTTATAGTGAGTATGTTATATTACATGAATGTGTTTTATATTGAGAATATTACATGCCCTGTATGTGTTATTTAGTGAGTTTGTTACGTTACATAATGTATACATCCTGGATGTGTTTTATAGTGAGTTTATGAATGTGTTTTATAGTGAGTGTGTTACATTTCCTCAGTTTTTGCAAATTGTATAAAGTAAGAAAATATAACAAAAATAGATTTTATTTTATTTATAGAAATTATTACATACAATGTGAGTAAAAAAAATACCCAAATTAAATAAAAGAATCTAAAGGTGATAATAAAAATGTCAGTTTTATTCTATATCAGGGCTTGCATTAACGGCGTCCCTTACATGTAAGTGACGCAAAAAAAAATTGTAGGACGGAAAAATAAAAAATATTTCCGTTTTTGGGACGGAAAAAAAATTGAGTCAAAACTTTGAACATTTTTTGAAAATCTCAATAGTTGATCATGTTTGACTTCTTTGAGGTGTATATTAAGATCAAAATATGTGAGATTTACAACTTTATTTTGAGTAAAAAAGAAAAAGAATGCAGAAAACGAACTATTGTAATGGGCGATAATAGGTTATCAGTTTGCATGTGACATCTTTTTCTCACTGAAAAGCTGATATTAAACCTTCAAAATGAGTTCAATTGTACAAATGATGCATACTTACCTAGGTGAAGTAGTCTATTTGTGATTATATAACGTCAAAATGGTCTAATTTATGATATAAATCAGAGGATTCTGATCATGTAGAAAATGTAGTGCTACACTAAATTACTGAGCGTCAGACAAATTCATACTAAAAAATGTTCTTATTTTTTCAAGCAGTTGTTCAGTGCAAACAGCAAGTATAAAGATAATCACAGTATAATAGTACTTACTATAACAGGCTGGAGGTTACATAACATAAGTGAATTGAATATAAAGAACATGTTTAAATCACAGGGCACGAATGGCAACATTTTGAAAACACATAAGACATGTAAGATCAAGTCATGCACATTCCAAAGTAGCCCATTATAGTTAATTTAGCTAATTTAGCTTATATATTGGGGGACACACTTTTTTCTGTCGGGACTCACTTTTTAAAATTTTTTCCTTCATTGGGACTCACATTTTTCAGAGCCTAATGCAAGCGCTGTATATATACATTATTTGCTGCAAAAATAGATCATTACATTATCATTCAATTGATTAATTAACTGCCAGACAGTCAGACTGGATTCAAGGATTGGCTCATGTTATATATATACATCTATTAATTATAAAACATGTATATTTATACCAACGAAGACTTTGTGAGATTAAAAATGTTTCTGTTTTGGGATACCCTCAGTTTTTGTACGAATTTCATTGATTTCTGAGAAAATTCTAAAATAATATGATACAATATAATATAATAGTCCATCCCCTATGACTCAGTGGCAGAGTCAAGGTTACCACCTATTGTTTGGCCCCAGGTTCGATTCCCAGTTCAGATAAGTTTGTTGTGCATTATATAATTCAGGGTGTTTGACTGAGTGGTCTATGTATAATAGGCTGTGGTGTGTACTTGCATGTCTGTGTACTGGTGTACACAAAAGAACACAGGGCTCCTCTCCAAGAAGAAGTTGCTGGCTCTGTCTTTGAGTGTAAAATACTGAATATACCAATGAGTTATTGTTCATCAAATATTGTGGTAACCAAAAATAAAAAAATAATATGAATTCCTGCTTTCTGATGAAAAATTCACATATTTCCCACTTTCTGGTGAAATGTAAGGGAAATGTGACAAGACTATGCTGCACATTTATTAAAAGTGGTCATATGATTGATTAAATGTAATAGGTGATTCATATAAACATTTGCACGATCTTTCTAATATACAATGCAGGGAATAAGTAACAGAAAAACACATAGTGTGTGAATAACTAATTGATACCCTTTGAAAGTTAGCTCAACCATTTTTTTTATGTTACCTCCACAAGTAGTGACATTATTATAGTCTACAACTTTTTGTGAACAGTGTTCAGCATTTGGTGTTTGATGGTCGGCATCTGTAACAAATGGCAGATGGTGACATTTTGCATGTTAATGCTTTTTTTTGATTAGCAATAAGAGTCTGAGCTAGTTCACCAAATCAGAGTTTGTTATGGTCAGCCATGACGAATTCCATATGTTTGAATAACTAGGCATATTTACAGTTCTCTGATTGGTTGAACGCTGATCCTTCTCAGAGCTTTGTTATATGGATAATAAGCTCAGGGTTTGGATTTAATAGAAAGACTGCATACAGTTCAATCTGTTATTGGCAATATAATGGATGGTAAAGCCTAGTACCCCACTAGGGTGGACTGACTTTTTAACATCAGCCCTTAGTGCAGAATTTCATTCTGTGTTTTCATTAACTACCTCTATCCTGTCTTTCTCCCCGTTTAAACTTCTACAGATAAAGATTGTGAATTGTATCTCAATTGAAAACAAGTATTCAATATTAAGATCTTAATGATATGTTTAGTGAAATTTACCATAAAAGATTGTGTCTCAAAGTACCCTTTACAATCACAATAACAACTGACAACATTAGATCCGGGGAACACCCTTGTTTGAATGATGTTATAGAATTGTCTATTTCTTCACGAATAATAATATATCTTTTTTTATTTCAGTGAGAAAAGACAAAAGATAGAAGATATCAAAAAGAACATAAGAGATGCAATTTTGGTAAGTTGATGTTTTATATTTGAACACAAGCTCCATTTAGAGCCATACATATTAATCCTCAGTCACATTTGCTCCACGGTGGCCGTAATTTCACAAAATTGATATAGAAAATCTACATCATACTGCTTTAATCCCTTTATTTTAAGCTGCATATTTCTTACGATTTTGGGAAGCTATGGCCAACGTATGATTGCCGTAGATCTAATGTGACTGACTTACTGCTTGTGTACCAGCATCATTGTGATATTCTAAGCTGAACCCTTCATTCATGTGTCTTCAATTATGTCTTTGATTTAAATATGTCCAATTAGAGCTCAGAAAAATGTGACTTATGAAAAAATAAGTTTAGAGGTGTTTATTATCCCATTATTATGTTTATTATCAGGATTCAGGGGGATATAGGAAAGCCGTCCATCCGTCGTTCTTCCGTCTGTACGGTAGTGTGTCCAGGCAATAACTCAAATACCAGTTAACAGATTTAATTAAAATTTTATAAAGCTGTTGTCTAGGGACACAGTAGCTCTGTTGTAGAAAATTTTTCAAAATGGCGGCTGAATTACAAAATGGCTGCCATTTTTCATAAAAAGGAATGTAATCTTTGATAACTCAAATTGACGGATATGGTTTACATTTTATATGTTGATGCCTAGGGACAAACAAGCTCTGCTCAAGAAGGAGTTTTCAAGGTGGCCACTAGTAATCAAAATATGTTTTGTTCGGTGGGATTTGCTACTCCGTGGAGTTGCTGTTTTTACAGTATTACAGATGGTTTCACAATTTGAAAACATTTCAAAATATTTCAAAATATATTTGTGTTTTGTTTGGTGGGATTTACTACTTTTGGGAGTTGTTTTTTTGGTTATAGATGAGTTCACTTTAGTAGATATAGAAACATTAAAGAAGTATATTGTTACATTTATACTCATATCACACAAAGTATACATTAAAACGAGACATTAGTCATTTTCTACATATTTTGTATGTGTTTATGTTTTTAAAAATTGGCCTATATATGATATAAGTTTTTATCTTAACAAAGTATGATATTGTCATCAGCTTGGCGGATGGGTGGCGTCTCACTTTTCTTGAGGGTATCAAGGTTATGGGGTGGTTATATTAAGATCTGGAATCAGGAAGCAATAGGCTAAAACACAAGCTGATAATGTATTTATTCAGACTTGTTCTTCCAGTGTTTATGAAATATAAAATACAGGAACAAAATAACTTAAAAGGGAGTAAAACAGGAATCTGAAACCAAGGTGAAATTTTGGGAATAAGTCAAGGTCAAAGTTAGGGATAAGGAACTTAGAAGGTGAAAAATCAGAGAGAACTGATGTATAAAAGACCATTACTTTTAGGGTACAAAAATTAGAGACTAGAACACATAGAATTATTGGAACACACTCACATGTGATGTAAATTATTATGATACCTTAGGTATAGGTCCATGAACTTGTACGAGGAAGTGAAATATACATTCCAAAAGTTCTCTTGATAGAAATTTCTAAGTCAGTTGACTATCATAATTGTAGTTACAGTCAGCTATATAATCGATAAATACTTGGTTTGTTGAATTAAAAAGGTTGTGCTGATTTTTTCAAAAATTAATCTCTAACTTCAAAGTAGATCTAAATTCTTCAGGATGTATACGGGATTGAGGTTAAACCCATTATCGTGCTTTATCAAATATATGTAAGTCAAAGTTTAAGTATTTGTCTAAAGTTCCAGTACAGACAAGAATCGTTGTATTCAGTAGAACTACCAAAATCATGTTACAACAGAATTTAACATGTCAAACAACATTATCAAATATAAAAAAATGTGTTTCGAGTGTCCCTAGTAGAAAATATTTTTAAAACATGAATAGGAATGTTATCGATACTTCAAAATTGTAAGTTTCAAGTATGTTTTATATTATATTGTTTATCTCAGTTGATGTATGTTTCAAGTATGTTTTATATTATATTTTTATCTCAGTGTAGCTATTTTTAGAATTTGAAGTGAATTACATTTGTTATTGACATATTTTCAATGCAATGACATAGATAGGCAATATAAAAAGGAGATACATTTAACATTCTTCTGCTTCTGAATTTATGGTTATTTATGTTAGATCACTGTTCTGCTGTAGTGAGGTCAATATGTAGGTAACGTTCTAAACTTGACAATTATTCATTTTTTTTTAATACTGATTCATGAACTTGTGATATATTTTGCCAGATAAATTAAAATAATGAATCATGTTTTATGCTCATATCCAATAGGCCTTTAATATAGTACCGTATTGCTTCTAAAAGATGCCTACATCCACCCTGAAAGTTGTTATGAAGTGGGACAATATCATTAAATATCAGAAGATATTGAAGAAGATAACTACCATGTCAAGTTGTCTTCTTATCCATATTTTATGTCTCTTGTACATGGTGACATTGGTAGAATGATAGAGTACTAATTCTTCGGATTCTACAGTGTTCCTATTTGGAACCATTACAGTATTTCTTTAGGGTGGTTTTAGGGGGTTCATTGGGGAGGTATTTTAGGGGGTTTAAGGGGATACTTTTAAGGGTTTTTTAGAGCTATTTTTCAGGGTTCTGTAAGGGATGCTGCAAATAAAATATGTCTCTCATTGGATATAGACCAAGATTCAAGAAATGGTGAAAATTTTGTGACTGGCATTGTGTTGGTATCTAGAAAAACTTGTCATCGATACTAACATACTGGCTGATGCTATGTCTACCTTGCCTCAGGTATTGTTATGTTCTACTTGTTGTCATGATTATTCTTTGTATTTTCAGACAATAACAGGGGCAATGAGTACATTGAATCCCCCAATCTCATTGGAGAACCCTCGTGATCAATTTCGTGTAGATTATATTCAAGATATAGCCAGTCAGGCGGACTTCGATTACCCTTCTGTAAGTAGGGCCATATCCTCAATCAAATTTATTTTAATGTGAAAGTGAAAGTATTTTATATGTAAAGTATTTTGCCAATATGATGAATAATTTTTGTTATGATTTTTTATTCAGTTTGAAAAATCAATATTAAACCATTGTTATGAGATATTACGAAAACACAAAATAGCCTGATAGCTCAATGTTATGAATGATAAAAAGATCAATGAATCTCACTTCTCTGTAGGATATATTACACATTCCATACATGCATGTTTGACCCAATAACATGATAAAATATGTCACTGTGAAATAATAAGCCAGGAGACTGTTACCATGTCGCTTGAACAACCAAATGAGAAAAAAATTTGAAAAAGATTCATGCTTATATATAAACTGTATAATATATTCATAATCTGTAATTTTTCAGGAATTTTATGAACACACTGAAATCCTATGGAAAGACCAAGGAGTTGTATCGTGTTTTGAAAGGTCAAATGAATACCAACTGATTGATTGCGCAAAATAGTGAGTAGAAAAATGCTTTTTTAAAATTTTGACAACACATGGCAACACAAGGGTCTATACGTACCTATTTCTTTCATGATATATTCAATTATTTCAGTCTATATATCGGAGCAAGCGATTGATTCTTTGCTTGTGTTGCTAAGTTGTTGTTACTTTAGTAAATATTACATCACAATGTTTATGATGTTCTGCATACAAGAGTAATCAATATTGTATAGAGTGGAGACGAGGACGTTTTATACAGTGAAACCCTATGCCAAGTTATTGTTGATAAAATCTCATAGCGGTTATGCTTCATAGTGGAAATGATTGGAAATGAGTGGAATCAGTAAGGAGTGAAAGAAACAGAAATGCAGTGGATGCTCTCACTGACAAGATTTTCATTTAGACTTATTTAGCATGTGTATTAAGGGATCGTTTAACTTGTCTCTATCGAAAAGCTAAAATGGACATGAAGTGATTGTATGCCTGTTGCTGTTGGTCTCTAAGTACTCTCTATGTGTGATCAAACAGATTCATACAGGGTGTCCCATAAAACATGCCAAATCAGTAGAGATAGTCCTTAAAGACCCCATTAAAGTTTAAACCACTTTGGCTTACATTATAGTCACACCCAATTTTATCAAAATGTGGTATGTGAAACTTTTCAATTTAATTTGACGACCTTTTGTCCAAAAAATTATGAATTCATTTCAAATTGTTATGTAATAAATTACACCAATGCATATCATACATCCTTGCCTATTTTCTGTTCAAAAGAATTTAAAAATTTTTTTGAAAAATAATCAAGAAATGAACTCATAAACGCAAAAAGTAGTTCAGAGAAAAAATTAAGATTTTGGCTCTCATTGAATCCAACTATACATAATAAGTCAAAGTCATTATTTTCAAAAATGTCTACAATGACTTTTCAAGTCATAAAAAGTAATATCTGAATGCTATATATTTTCAAATGTTACACAGGGCTTTTAATATGATAAAAAATGACAGATTTTTAAAGCCTAATGACATTAGAATAATAATATACTTTCCATGTACATGAATTTTAAGAGGATCAGTAGTCAGTTAAGATTTTTGTCAAAGTATGGGATTTTACATGGTATATATCAGAGAAGGGGGATTCTGAATTTTTGGACACCCTGTATACACTTATAATTTCTATTTTTCTTTGTTCCAATGTTCCATCTGTGTTTGCTTATCACAATAAGGTTTCACTGTACTGGAATGAACCTGCTCTACTGTAAAGTGAAGTGTTTTGACGGGATCTTTGAATGCTTGGATTCCTGCCCAGCGTGTGTTTGTGTGTGATTGTATCTGGTATTAATGCTTATATTTGATTTGTGTGTTGTTTTGACCAAACTGCCTATTGTTTTGAGGCCAATATCACCAATCATTTATTTTGTTGATAATGACTTTTCAATATTATGGAAAAGCAAAAATAGAAGCAATTGAAAATGTAAGGTAAAGGTAGTATACATTTAAAGGCACAAAATATATTTTGGAGAGGACTAAAGAAGTAATTTGAAAAGTCAATTGTTTAAGCCTGTTGTATGTGAATAGAGGGGCTCAATCTGATATGGAGTGCAAGACTGCATTCAAACAACAATGTTTGGCACCAGGACTCCTCTTAATCTGATTGTCACTGCAACACATAGATTTATTACAAATGGTGGCAGCGGTGGGCTTTTGTTCACTTGTCCCTAAGCATGGTCTGTTTGTAAATGTACAGTGACATACACAACAACTAACTAATAGTTTCAGCTTGGACATAATAGCTACAGTAGGATGTCCATCATGGCGGGTTTAGCTGGTTGCGTTCATACTTAATTAATCAATGCATGTAGGCGCATATGTTATATAATCTTTATAAAACACAGGATATGGAAATATGATAGTTAAGATGTTGATGAAGCAAGTCTAATGATAACCATTAGGATTAACCATTGTTTATATGATCTTGCATCTACTGAAATACCTCTATGACCTCATACTCCTTAATTAATGTTATTCATAAATATGATTCTCATAGATGTGTACTTGGAATATCCCAATTAGAGGTATATGTATATCTGAACGAATATCTGTTATAGTTTGTACAGTGGTTGGTATTCAGCATTCAGTGGTCAGTGTCTGTAGCAAATGTAACAAATAGCAGGTGGTGACATTTTGTATATTCATGCCTTGTTTCAAGGGTTGCACTCCAATTAAATGTTTGGTTCATCAAACAAGTCAGCCAGAGAAGTTCATCATTATCTTGTGGAAGTCATATATTTTCTCTTACATGTGATTGTACATATTCATGTATTGATTTTTAAAGGATTGAATCAGCAGTCAATATAAAGACACATTAAGGCATACCAACAGTAACCCATTTATCTGATCATTTGTGCCATTGAACCATGCCATTCCACCATCCAGTGCATTCTATTTAGAACACATGAAACTCTAAATGTTTTATGTCTCACTTAGGCAGATCCTAGGAATGTAGCGACCCTGAAATGGAGTCTTAAAAGCTATTATCACTACTTTATCATTGGGTTATAAATTATGTTGCCTCATTTTAAACTGATTCTTCGTACATGCAACAGTAAAATTTTAAATGTTTTGAACTACATGTACTTTGAATCTAAAAATTCCATATAGAAACAGACTATGTAAAAATAGAAACATTTATACATGTCCTAACTTTTGTATATTTTAGTTAGTTTTGTAGTCTAGCTATCATATCTGTGGCGTCTTATATTTTGACACTTCTCTGCCATGTTATTTTCCAAAAAATTAACATGGCTAAAACTCCCCAAATTACAAAAGGCCACAGCTTTGCTGCACATTATACATAACTATCTGAAATATACAAAAGATAGGACTTGTACATATGTTTCCATTATTTCATGTACTGTTGCAATATAGTCATTTGATTGCTTATTTTTTAAATTCAAAGTAGTCCCAAACATTTAAAATTTTACTGTAAATATGCTACAAGGAAAGAAACAGATTCTTCAGTTTCACTTTCATTTTTTTACTTGCCTCAGTAGGGTATCATGTCAAGTTTGATCTGCTTATAACAATGCATATAGTCTACAGTATAGTAAAACCTGTCTAATGCCTCTGGAAATGGCCGAAAATGTTCAGATTAGAAGGTGTTCATATTTCTATGTTTTATAAACATGTTAGTCAGTGGAAGATAACAAAATTAGGACTGGGAAAAGGTGTTCACATTGAGAGGCGTTCAGATTATAGAGGTGTTTGGACGATGGATATTAAGGTTTGACTGTGTATGCATTCTTATTATAGACTTTAAGGCTGAGAAAATTGATTGCAAACAGTTCTTTGTACTTTAGTATTGAGTCAGGACTGAATTTATGAATATTTTATAGCAAGGTCAACTGTACCTTTGCTAAAGGTTCACTGGATGAGTCATGTGATGGTCAGACCACAATTTTTCCGACTGAGAAGTTAACCAAACCAACCAGTGATATCCTAATTTAAACTGCATTCAGCCCTCAAAATTACAAAGCGGAATAGCCTAGCAATGGTAAAGTCAGGTACCATTGTCACAAATGGCGGACATAACCGTCACTTAAACTCTTTAATCACTTGGTTCTCATTTCATGGGACCTTATCGTCATTAATTCTGTGTATGTATTAAGCTCTTGTGATGGTGTATTATATGAAATCCCAATTTCGATCAAATGTGGCCATGAGTCGCCACATTATACCGTCTTCCATATCATCAATGACACTGGAATCTGAATTTCACAGAGAAAGGATAGATCCTAAATACAGTATCCGTTGTTCTGTGCCATGTTTTGATTGGTAAAATTGAAGGCTTTATTTCGATGGCAGAACATATTTAACTATACAGTCTAGAGGATAAGGTAAAACCACCAGAGTGTGATACCATACCAGGCCTGACCTCCCGCTGTTATGGGCGGATCATTGTCACTCCATAGATCACATAATTTTCACAGTTCATGGTTTCAGTAAATAGGCAAAGAAACCAGTGACCGTAACTGCTGTAGTAGTAATGTTATGAATGAGTTACTAGATATAGTATGGCTTGGGTTAAGTTCAGATTACATTTGTTGATCTTTAATTTTACATTCCATAAAGAAAAAATAATCCAACGTCATATTCATTTTCTAACGTTTTCTTTAATTCTGAAACTGAATACTGCAAAATTACAGAATGAATCAAATGGTTACATTCCACATGCCATAAGATTAAATGGGCAACTTGAAGTGATTCACTTATTTCTGATATACGTATCCATCAGCTATACACATTAACGTTTATTGACATATTAAATATTTTGAAATGAGAGTTATGAAAAAACAATAAAACATTACCTAAATGCAAAATAACAGAATCAATCTAAAGCTATAATATCACCCTATGCAGACAGAGCCTGTGGGAAATATTGGGTGCGGAGCAAATGAGCGGAGGGTGCGGAGCTAACGGTCATTTTTGAATTTAAATTTGGGATATTTCTGAAACTAAGCCGTTTTGGGACTTCAAATATACCAAGATATGTGTATTTGACACCAAATATCAATACAATTGTGAAAATAGTAGCGCAATTCATTCTATAGCGACGCAGTGTGCCTTAAACCTTTCCCAGACCTATATATTTTGAAATTATCCTTTTAATACTGAGTCCCAAGCATTCATAAAAAATGGTGTTCAAGGTACACTATCTATACAAATTATTTTTGCATCTTGGAAGCCAGGCAGTATACGTGTGATTTTATAAAAATTCGGAATGTTTTTCAGATATGAGCCCCCTCTAAATATTGGGTGCGGAGCAGCTCCATAAACGTAGCTCCGCACCCAATATTTAGAGGGGGCTCATATCTGAAGAACATTTCCGAATTTTTATAAAATCACACAGATACTGCCTGGCTTCCAAGATGCAAAAATAATTTGCATGGGTAGTGTATCTTGAACACCATTTTTTATGAATGCTGGGGACGCAGTATTAAAAGGATAGTCTCAAAATA